GTAAGCCTGAATTTGATTAGTTTCAGCAGATAAAAAATTGTCAAATTGCTACAAATTTAAGTGTTTACTTTGCATTTCTATACTTAACCTCACTGTCAACCATAACCAGTTTGTGGACCAGTAGTAGTAGTCTGTGGACTATACCTTGAGTTATTGGTTCAAACCATTAACCAGTGCCTAGGGGGACTACTGATTATTACATACTTCAAATAAGGTGTTGGGTGATTTGTCTTAACCCGGAAAAAAATTTTTTGGAAGTTCCTGTGAGTAAATATTTGTTGAATGAAGGTAATGGAGTACACAAATGGGGTGTTCTGAGGGGGAAGGCTCATCATTATTTCTAGAAGAAATGGTTTATATGTGTATTTGGGTTGAGAATTGCTGAGAAATCTTGAATGTTCCAAACCGTGGAAAAGCGCATCATGGTTTTGAAATTTAAGCAATGTAGACTTGAACATGATGAGGAGAATCTAAAGTTTAGTCAGATTTATTGAAAACATCACAGAATGATGCTAGATCTGGGAAATATTTACCTCTATAATATTAGGATTGTCCCATAAGATTAATATTATACCTGTGCTAGTTTTTGCAGAATGTAGTAAAAAGCTACCTGACATTCTTTGCAGCCAATTGTTAGACTTTTCTTGCCCTTGCTTGCTTTTTTTCTTCACTTTCAACTTTCTCTTGTTGCTATGACAGTTTATTCAGCCCTGGGTTTGCTAAATTACAATACTGAACATTTTTATTTGAAGCTGATAAACTGAGCAAATCTTAAACCAGGTTTAATACTTTGCTCTCAAATTGGTTATCTTTTTCAGTTCCCTTACTTGCCATTTGTATTTAATCTCTTTGACATTCTAGTTAATGGCTTTCATTGCCCCCAAGATGAAAGCTACACTTTTAGCCTGACCTCTGAGGCCTTTAACAATCTCACTCCAACCTACCATTCTAGCTCTGGTTTCACGAACCCTCTCTTTCAGCCACACTGGTTACTACCTGGATGAACACAGCACCATCCCATGGCCTCACTCTTACTCCCTATTCTACCCACCTAAAATGTGTTACACAATGCTTTTTCAAGGGAAGATTGCCTATTTTAGGTTAAAAATGTGTTTGATTACTTTGAGATTAGCCATAATCTGCTAAATTAGCCTTTACTTTTTTGTCCAGGTAGTTTATAAACCTAGAAATGTTAGTCATTTAATTTTTTTCCTTTTAATTCCTCAGTAGAACCTGAGATTGGTCATTTAGAATGTAATTTCCAGTGAAATTTGCTCATTGAGAAAACACCAGCCTAAGAGAGTAGAGAGAGGAATATGGTAGGATTTTGCAGTAGAATTTTGTTTTTAAACTGAATGCAAACTTAAAACTATTTAGTGTCTATAGGAAGCAACCTTAAAAATAAGGTTATATATCTTAAAATAGAACTTGTTTCTTGAACTATTTTTTAGTTCCCATATAGATCATACGAAAAGAAGACTGTCTATGCCCAATAAAAATTTTTATGGTGTTTCACATCATTTGTTTGAAAATCTAATACGTTTATATAATTAAAAGTGAAGACTAAAGATTTTAAATTAGTATACTTACTGATTCATACATACACACACATTTCAAAATGTGTAGCTCCTTTTTTAAGTTGTTGGAAAAGTACAAAATTATGTGTCCTGTTTTGTTTTGTTTTGTTTTGAGACGGAGTTTTGCTCTTATTGCCCAGGCAGGAGTACAGTGGCACGATCTCTGATCACTGCAATTTCTGCCTCCTGGGTTCAAGCAATTCTCTTGCTTCAGCCTCCCGAGTAGCTGGAATTACAGGCACACGCCACTGCGCCCAGCTAATTTTTGCATTTTTAGTAGAGGTGGGGTTTCACCATGTTGGCCAGGCTGGTCTTGAACTCCTGACCTTAGGTGATCCACCTGCCTCGGCCTCCCAAAGTGCTGGGTTTACAGCACTGAGCCACCGTGCCTGGCCAATTATGTGTTCTTAATATGAAGACTAGTATCAGTTACTTACAGTGCGACTTTTATTTTAATTCAAAATAACACTTTTAAAATTCTAGAAACTGGATATGTTTTTCCTGAGTGATAACTTGCTTTTAATTCCTATATGTCCAAAGATTTGATGCCATCTTAGTCTTTCATCATTTTCCCAATAATGAAAAGAATGGAATAACATAAAAGAAGGGAAAGTACTACATTATTTTGGATACCTTAAACTTGTATTTAGTCATATTGTAACTCACTGTTTATGTGCTGCTGAGGTGAAAGGTTTAAATAAGTGTTGTGAATGGTTTATAGTGAGGATTTTGAGCTTGTGAATAAATATAAGAGAATTTACAGTGCTATTTAACTTTGAGAGGAAGAATATCTTTTACTGGCATATTCAACATTGAAAACCCCTGTATGCCTAACCTTGTGGTAGGACCATCATTATGTGAAACCCCAAAACATATTATAATCATTGCTCCTTTAAACTGTTAATGGTCGTTTATATAGGATATTTACCTTTTCAAGTGCTTGTCATTCTTTTTGCATCTCCATCTGGGATCTTTCTTCTGCAGGCTGAAGACTTTTCTTTGGTATTCCTTTTTGGATCTGAGAGAGAGAGGATTGTTTCTTTTTCTTTCTTCCCCTTTCTTCACTGGGTCTCACTGTATTGCTGAAGCTGTTTTCAAACTCCTGGACTCAAGCAGTCCTCTCGCCTTGGCCTCTCAAAGTGCTGGAGTCACAGACATAAGTCCCTGTACCCATTCTACTTATGTTTCACAAATACTGTGCAGTCTCTAGTTTTGGCTCAGCTGTTCTTGTTCTCTGTTAGGCCAACCAGAGTTACACTCTGAAAGTGCCAGTTTAGAAGTTAGCCAAAAACCTGTGAGGGATTTTTACATATATTGAGGAGCCCACTTCTCATCTACAGCAGTTTTTCTCTGGTACCCTGTCCCCTAAAGCCTACCTGCCTGCCAGTCTCTCATTGTTTTCATGGAGACTCCCACTGTCTACCTGGAAACCCATCATTAATTTTAAGCTAGTGGGATAGGAAATGGCATTCAGTAATTATCATCTGTTTGAACACTTAAATTTACTGGTAAGTGAATGTTGATAAAAATGTTTGGTTTTAAGGCATTAATTACTGTATGTCAATTTTCAGGCCTTAACCATTCTATGTAAACATTTAAATTTATTCAGTTAAGTAATGAAGTCAATAAATTCCTATTGGATTAAGTACTGTGATTATTGAGTGAGATCAAGACAGGGTCTCTGTTCTGGGTGACTTTATAGGCTAATAGAAATTCTTATACATGTCTTATGTTGATAAGAAAAAACATATCTGTTAGGAGGCCGAGGTGGGAGGATCGCTTGAGCTCAGGAGTTTGAGACCAGCCTGGCCAACATGGTAAGACTTTGTCTATACTAAAAATAAAAAAGAATTAGCCAGGTATCGTGGTGCCTATCTGTAGTCCCAGTTACCCTTGAGACTGAGGCAAGGTGGTGCCTATCTGTAGTCCCAGTTACCCTTGAGACTGAGGCAAGAAGATTGCTTGAGCCAGGGAAATTGAGGCTGCAGTGAGCTATGATTACCCACTGCACTCCGGTCTGGATAACAGAGTGAGACCCCATCTCTAAGAAACATAAAATACAGGAAAACCCGTATTCTTTCAAATAAATATTTACCACCTTTCTGCTCTCTGAGGTCTTTTAGATAATAAATATTCGAGTTACATATCTTATTATGTTAACATAGATCTCTATTGTTTGCTGCTTCAGTCTGATTTCTAAACACTTGTTGCATTGCCCTTTTTTTGGTATCAGTCTTTGTCCTAGTGCCTTTCTTTGGCTTTTTTCTTTTGTTGACAATTTATGATAGTATGAAGAGCTACATGGAAGAATGTGGTGAACACCTATTTTAAATTACTTTCCCCAGGCTTGTTTTCTTTCTGATATTTTTAGATGACAATGTTAATTATGCCTAGCCTAAGAGAAGATTTAAGTTCAAGCCAATGTCCATCTTGTTAGGGCCCACTGAAAATATTAAGCTGCCAAACTTTTAGGTTACCATAGGGTAAACAGTATGCCATGAAGGTAAGACCTGCATATCATTGACTTGATCACTTTACAAAGCTTTTTTGTCATCATAATATAGTTTTGTTTTGTTTGTTTGTTTTTGAGACAGGGTCTTGCCATGTTGCCCAGGCTGGTCTCAAACTCCTGGTCTCAAGCAATCCTCCTGTTAATCTCCCGAGTAGCTGGGATTATAGGGACGCACCACTGTGCCCAGTGATATAGTTGTTATACTCTTGAAACTTTAGTTTTAATCCTCTATCCTTCCTGATACCCCCTTCAATACCATATGCAGTATCTCAATATGATGGTATGTTAAGAAAAATAGCAGATTTTCCCAACTTTGTTGCATAGTCTGTGACTGTCTTCCTGCTATTTAAAAAAAAAGTGCAAGTGGAAGGATAACTATAAATATCATTACATTTTCAGATTTGAGAAATCCTTTTCTTTTTGCTCTTAATGAAGAGATATGAGAATAGAGAATGGTTCTTTAGAGGTTGGTCTGGGTGGTCTGTTTTATGAAGCAATCTGCTTTAATTCCTTCTTAAAAAATATCAGTGCCGGGCGTGGTGGCTCATGCCTGTAATCCCAGCACTTTGGGAGGCCAGGGTGGGCGGATCACGAGGTCAGGAGTTCAAGACCAGCCTGACGAACATGGTGAAACCCTGTCTCTACTAAAAATAGAAAAATTAGCCAGGCATGGTGGCACACAGCTGTAATCCCAGTTACTCAGGAGGCTGAGGCAGGAGAACTGCTTGAACCTGGGAGGAGGAGGTTGCAGTGAGCCAAGATCGCACGATTGCACTCCAGCCTGGGCAACAGAGAGACTCTTGTCTCAACAACAACAAAAAAAATTATCAGCATGTCAGTTCAGGTTTAGTTAGAATATTGCTGTCATAGATGTCTTAAGAAATTTAATGTTTTATATTATTTTCCACTAGGAAACCACCCCTACTCCTAATCCCCAGACTACGGAAGAGGAGAAAACGGAATCTAATCAGGAGGTTGCTAACCCAGAACACTATATTAAACATCCTCTACAGAACAGGTAAGCTTTCTGACACTTAGGTTTTCTGAGTTAGGCCACAAGGTAAATGGTGAATAGGGCAAGTCTGAAGGCAAAGTTAGATTATGAGACTAGTTTTAGATATGCTAAAGTTGAGGGTTCTGTTTTCATTTGGATGATCCATGACCAGCAGACAGTTTCATGTGTGAGTCTTGAGTTCAAAAGGAACTATGTGAGAGATTAGTTTGAAAAGTATTGGTCATAATGGAAGCCACATTAGTAAATAAGTTCCCTTAAGGAGAAGTGCACTTGACTCATGACAAAGACCTGGGATACTAGCATCACATAGGGGGCTTTTGTTGAAGAAGAATACCTATGAAGGATGGACATACAAAGACAGTGGTGGTTGTCCAGCATGGTGGGTCTCGCCTATAAACCCAGCACTTTAGGAGGTGGAGGCGGGCGGATCACCTGAGGTCAGGAGTTTGAGACCAACCTGGCCAACATGGTGAAACCCCGTCTCTACTAAAAATACAAAAATTAGCTGGGCGTGGTGGCAGGCGCCTGTAATCCCAGCTGCTTGGGAGGCTGAGGTGAGATAATTGCTTGAACCCAGGAGGTGCAGGTTGCAGTGAACCAAGATCGCGCTCCATCTCACACACACACAAAAAAGACAGTGGTGGTCATGGAAACCAAGAAGGTGGTTTGTTCTAAGATAGGGTGTAAGTTCATAGCACATGCTAAAAAGGTCAAATGAAGCAAGGTGTCAAAATATCCATTGATTTGAACACTTTTGTAAAAGTCCCTACTGACTTAGGAAAAAGTGTTTTAGTGTAGTTCCATAAAACATGGAAAAAAAGATTAGGTCAGTTTGAAGAGTGAATAGGAGATATACAGATGTATAGAGGAAGAACAGGTGACTTGAAGCTGGACTGAGAATGAGAAAGGAGAGCCAGGGAATGTGGAGTTTGAAGATTGGTTGGTTTGTAACTGAGAGACGAGAGGAAAAGGGTACAGATTAAAATTAGTTAAGTTTTCATAGTTAACAGTGTAGCAGGCAATTGAGTATTAGTTCATTATATGGCTTTTCCCAACTCTTCCCACTCCTTTCCAGTAGATTTGTTTTTATTTATTTTCTGGGGTATGTGAGAATTAACTTGAGTTCACTGAATGCTGATGGTGGGAAGAAAATGGCAGTTTAGAAACATTGTTACAATGTAGAGGAAAGTAAATTGGAATTAACTTCTAAGGTTCTTTCAATTCATTTCCTTGTCTTTTTTTCTTTTTATTTACTTTTTTTAGGACAGACCATTCACTCTCTACTTAAAAGAGTCCACAAATCTATTTATAATTTAGTTTCATTTATTAAAATTTTTTTTATGATCTTAATTTTTAAAAAATGTTTCCTTTATTCGTCATGGAAGACCTAGTGAAATAAATAGTTCAAATACGCTGTATGCAGTTTTCTCATAGGAGACCCTTTGGTTCAGTATTTCCTCTAATGAGGAACAAATCAGTTTTTTAGACAATGGAGATTGTCAGCTAGTGGGATATCAGAGGTCAAACAGTCTATAAAGGATAAAATCCTTCCTCAGGAAAGCAATGTACCACATGTATTAGGTTGAACAATTCATTAGTGGCAGTTTTATATAGTTTAACCTAATAGTAGCACCAAAAGCCACATTTTTTTTTTTCACTTTTTTCAGTGATATAAAACAAACTCTGTATATCTTCTAGCTGTCTGTGAACACAGTTCTTTGTGTCGCTCTTACTGTGGGGAGAAGTAAAACAAGGCGTATATCCCTCACAGCTTGAATGGAGTCTAAGAAGGGATTCTTAAGTGTCCTCATCAGTTTGGAAAACAAACAAAAAAAAGTTTAAAGCTTAAAATGAAATCCCTGGGGACTTCAGTTTCTCTATAAATTCTACTTTTTGTGTAAAATAGCAAGTATCATTTGGAAAAGTACTATGTTTTATGGCTCCAATGTTGGCAGTTTTCTTATTATTCACTTCTTGCATTTTACTTTTCTTTACTCCCCAGAGTAGTCAATGTTAAATTTGGTTTGTATTCCAGAAGTATTAAATGCACATATGTATACTTTTTAATACAAATGTCTATACGGTTGACTTTTCTGTTTGTATGTGCAGATTATACCTCATAGTTTTAAACTGCCGTCTTTTATTATATTCATATACAGCCATGTATTTTATTAGGCTTACATTAATGGCTGTATAGATTTTTCTTTTTACACACAGTGCTGTAATTTACATATATACTTGTGCACTTGTGTGAATATATTTATAGGGTAAAATTTTAGATCTCCTAGAACAAAGATTACCCTTTAACAACTTTTGTGCAGATACTGTTGCATTATTCTGCTTTATTGACTTAGACTTAATAGTTTGAGAGTTCCTGGTTTCTATGTCCTTGCCAACTTGTGTGATTAGTCTTTTAAGTTGTTGCCAATCAAGTCGGTCCCAGTCTGATTTGGGAAAACAATTTCAGTATTTTCAATTTTGCATTTTAAAATTGAAGTTTCAAAATATTTTCATATTGATGATTTGTGGTTTTTATCTAAGGACAGATTATTCAGTTCTTCTATTTTTTTTTTTAATTTGGATTATCTCTTTTTCCCCTACTTTCAAGCTAACAAGTTATGGAATATCTTTTCCAAGTTTATTTCCAAGCATTTTGTATTACCGTGCTAACTCACCCAAGGCAGGGAAGTTGGAGGAGTATTAAGTCGGAAACAGTTTATCCAAATCATTTGTCTTCTAACATTGACTGTGGAATTACAGGGTTTTTTTTTTTAGAGGTCTTTAGTTTTCATGTAGGCAAATACTGCTTTTTCTCAGTGGCTTCTGGGTTTCATATCAATTTTAGGAAAACTACCACACAATTAAGCTTTTTTTTTTTTTTTTTTTTTAACTTTTTAATAGTTGCATAGTAGTCACTTGCATGGATGTACAATATTTTATTTAAATCAGCAGTACTCAAATATTTGGTCTCACAATCCCTTTACACTCTTAAATTATTGAGGACTCTACAGAGCTTTATGTGAGTTTTTATCTATTGTTATTTACTACATTTTTACAGTAAATAATGCTAAGGTGTTTTTTCACATTTAAAAATGAATATATAATTTCACCTGAAAAACTTGAGAAATGTAAAATTATTCGTTTAGAAAATTTATCCCATGTTAACATAAATGACATTTTATAATGAAAATATTTGAACTAAAAAATATATAATAGAAAGAATGGCATTTTTGCCATCTTTTTTTTGTTTTGTTTTGGTTTTGGTTTTGGTTTTTTGAGACAGAGTCTCGCCCTGTTGCCCAGGCTGGAGTGCAGTGACACCATTGCGGCTCACTGCCACCTCCACCTCCCGGGTTCAAGTGATTCTTCTGCCTCAACCTCCCGAGTAGCCAGAATCACAGGCGCGTACTACCACGCCCGGCTAATTTTTATAGTTTTTAGTAGAGATGGGGTTTCACCATGTTGGCCAGGCTGATCTTGAACTCCTGACCTTGTGATCCACCTGCCTCGGCCTCCCAAAGTGCCGGGATTACAGGCGTGAGCCACCGCGCCCAGCCACATTTTTGCCATCTTAGAAGTCAACTGGATTTTCATGGCTGTTTCTGCCTTCAGTCTGTGGAGTTAAGGTGTTTCATTGGAAGTATAAGAAGACAGTACAGCCTCACACAGGTATTTGGTTGGAAAAGGGAGAATAGTTTTTAAAAGCCTTTAAAAATAATTGTTGATATTATCCTTTGATACACTACTAGGTGTCTTCCCCCTCCCCTTTTTTCCTAGGACACATGCTCAAGAGATACTGGGTTTCTTAGAGATTAGTTGAAACGTGGAATCTGAAACCATATCCAAGAATTTGTTTCTACTTTGTTACATTAAAATCCATTGGTCTGTCTCACATCTGGAATGGATCTCTTACCTGTGTAAGATTTTTAACATCATACATTGCTTATTTGGAAAATAATTTTTCAGTGAGTTACGCAGATCTTCCAAATGTTGACACATTTTCTTATATAGTATCAAACAATAATAATTCATTAACATTGCCTCTAAACTCATTAAGCATCTTTGGCACCTGCCACCATGCCCATCTAATTTTTGTATTTTTAGTAGAGATAGGTTTCACCGTGGTGGTGAGGCTGGTCTTGAACTCCTGACCTCAGGTGATCCGCCCACCTCAGTCTTCCAAAGTGCTAGGATTGTAGGTGTTGAGCCACCGTGCCCAGCCCAAAGGCATTCTTATATGAAACTCACATTATTAGTACTGTGAGAGTTGGTAGTAATAAATGTACAGTGACTACTCGTATAGTTTTGTGTCACTGTCTTGGTTCTTGCTAAAGCACCAGCAGATTTAACTACTGTTGCTTTTGCACCATTAGTGCAAATGTGAATACTGAAAAGCAAAGTGACTTCTTAGCATTATTATGAAAATGGATCTTAGGGCCTCCTGCCTGTCTGCAAACCACATTTTGAGAACTGCTGATTTAAATAATTCGTTGTTGATAAGCACTTAGGATGTTTTCACATTTTCCAAAACTAAAAATGTCATTTGTTTGTTTTTGGAGACAGGGTCTCACTCTGTCACCCAGGCTGGGGTGGTGTAATCTCGGCTCGCTGCAGCCTTGACCTTCTGTGCTCAAGCCATCTTTCCACCCCAGGAATGCATCACCACCCATTTTAGTGTATTTTGTAGAGTTGGAGTTTTGCTATTTCCCAGGCTGGCCTTGAACTCCTAGACTCAAACAGTTCATCCACCTTGGCCTCACAGAATGCTGGGATTACAGGCATGAGCCAACATGCCTGGACTTTTTTTTGTTTTCTTTTTTTCTTTGAAGAGACATGGTCCCATTCTGTTGCCCAGACTGGGGAGCAGTGGCATGATAATAGCTCACTGTAGCCTCAAATTTCTGGGCTCAAATGACCTTCCTGCATCAGCCTTCTAAGTAGCTAGGTCCATAAGTGTGCACCACCATGCCTGGCTAAGATTTTTTTTTTTTTTTCTTTTTTGG